TATAAAATATTTTGTAAAAAAAAGCTTAAAATATTGCCTTATTTTTAAAAACATATTAAGTATAAAGTTTGAAATTAAAATATTGAAAACCGAAGTTCAATATGACCTGTAGACTATTACCATATATTAGTTAAAATAAAAAAAAAAGATCAAATTTGATTGATTCTACAGGACAGGATTATTATTTTCCTGTAGAGTGTATTTTTGGTTTACATATTATGTAATGGCAAATGCATTGAGCGACCAAAATTTAATCGATAGAATGGACGTATATCCATTCCACCGAAATTACTTTTTTACCTGTAAAAAACTTATGGATTGCGCTAAACCTTTTTAATTTTATGCTATAAACTAAATAGTTTCCGACGCTAGATTAGCTCATATAGTCGTATATTACAATACACTTTTACTAAAACTAGATGTCTAGATGACGAAAGGCTAAAAAAATGCTGTGGTTATTTATTTGATAATTATTAATTACATCGATGAAACACTCAAACACCTAAATTTAATCCGAAAATATGGGCATCGTCTAACGTCTTCAATATGATCGGAATGAACAACTAACAATATTGCAAATCGTTTCGTTCGAAACTCAACTCACAATATTCACTAAAGTGCATGCCAATATATTTTGTTTTCATTTGTATTTAATTTATAAATACAAACTTATCCGTGTCTATATAATAATAAGTCTATATAAGAGGTCAAGAGGACAAAACATAAATAAAATCAGCAAAAATAAAATTTATGATATGAAAAAATGTTCATAACAACCATTCTTTTTTTTTTATTAGCTTTTTGTAAATATAATTATATCTCAACAATTATAGAGGATAACAATTTTTTTTTAGCTTCTAGTAATAAGTAAGACAGCTCAACAATTATATGAACAATAAACAGAAATCGTATTGCGACTATAAAATAATTATTAGTCGTAACAAAACTAAGATGCGAGGTCTGTAACATTAGATACAAATATACAATTAATAGTTTGAGCATACAATGATACTAATGAATAGTAATGACTAATTATAGATAAGGTCCATATATAAAAATATATATATAGAATATGAACATCCAAAATATGAATAGTTAGATAAGGCTCAGGAGTCAAGATAAGTAAGCAATGCGATATACAGAGTAGAGAAATTTAATTTTTTTATAATTGGGAAACAACCATTTTTGGTGATGATTATTACTATATTTTGATAGACTCTAGTACTCTACTTATATTAAACTGGCATAAAATGTCTACTTGAAGTGAAAAATGTATCCAATTTTATAAAAATAACCCCCATAGATATTTGAGTTATTGTTACTGTATGTACCTATTATTTAATATGTTATTGTTTTTCTGCCGTTTTATTATGACGTATAGTATATGGAATCGATAGCCGGTTGTCAACAAAATACAAAATTTGTCCGGCATAATAAAATTGATATTATAACGGCGGAAATGCTAAATAGATAAACTCCCGACAGGGTTATGATAATCCTGTTATAATTATTATTAAATTTTACCATACAATACAATTATTTTTCCTATAAAACGGACTCTGGACAAACGGCAATAGACCAAAGAGTATAATAGTATTTGAAATTTGTGTGTGTTTTAAGAACTCCTCGTCTCTTCACCTCCATCACGAGCATTGCTTAAAGGAGGTGAGCAAACACATGTTCAAAAAAAACTAACTAATTGTAAGTGTTGTTGTTTCTGTTTGCACTTTGCAATAAAATAAACAAATAAATAATATAAAACTATAAATATCGAATTTATATTTGGATACTACAGATAATTTGTATTCAAACTGGTTATCTATTTGATATTTTGACCGGACAACGATGTTCCCCCACTAGACTAATATATGTATAAGGTTAAGTGTGCTCCCCTCCCCCCGCAACCATTTGATAATATATTCCTCACAAAATAAATTTCGTTCTCAATGTTTTTTTCGATTACGACATTCTACAATTAGTATTCTACATTTCTACACGTTCGACGATTCGACACTGCAGTTGACACTTGGTGGTAACTGGTAAGTGTGAATTGTGACATTTTAATAATATAATTAATAGGATTTCATGACTATATTTTATTAAGATTTTTCAACAAAAAAAGACCGTGGTCCTAAAATTTTTTATTCAATATATTATAGTCTTTAGACTACTATTTTTTTTTTAATTATTTCGGTTACCATCTTCTAATATTAACAAAAACCCCTTTCGTAAACTACGTGTAAAAATGGCTAAGTAAAAAAAATATAAGATCTTTAAGCACTATAAAGATGTGATATCATGATTAAATGCTAAGTATATTGAATTTAAGTAAGCTTATTTTCTTTCAATAATTTATTTACTTGGCCAGGAATTATTTCTTAAAATAAACAAAGTGTGATGAACAAAATAATTAAATAAAGGACTATTAAAATATCAATTATTATTATTTTAAAAATATTATTATTAATCTATATATATAAAAATGAATGTATGTCTGTGTGTCTGTGTGTCCATGTTACCATGGTTACCAAGGTTGCCATGGTTACTAAGGTTACCAAGATTTCATATCAATCTATATATATAAAAATGAATGTATGTCAGTGTGTGTGTGTGTGTGTGTGTGTGTGTGGGTCCATATTACCATGGCAACCATATCTGTATATAAAAACAGTAAGCTGATTGACTGCTATCAACGCACAGCTCAAACCATTGGACGGATCTGGCTGAAATTTGGCATACAGATAGCTATTATAATATAGACGTGCGCTAAGAAAGGATTTGCCAAAATTCGCATTTTAAATAGGTGCTGAAACAGGGACATTGAGATTCACGATAGAAATTGGAAATTTTATTTTTATTTATTTATAGTTGCCATTGGTTACAGTCTACATTAGAAATTAGCATTTATTTATTGGTTGCCATTGGTTATTCGGGCAGATCAGGTACAAGCTTGCATCAAATCGAATTATTTAACAATGCTTACCAGGGTGGCAGAGTTGCACTTACCGCAGAAAATTACACCCAAAAGGAGTTCAACAATCATAATTTTTTTAAGAGTTGCGATTTTTTACGAGCAACCAAATTTATTATATTAATCCACAGTATTACATCAAAATAAACTTGGTATAACTTTGATACTTTAGAGTTAAATCATACACTTCCGTACAAACAGCACGGGGTCCGCGATCTACCGCAGGTAGATTGCCTACCTGATAATGTACTGCTGCGATTCAGAATTTTTATTCAGGGCAACGGGAAAGATAAGATAAATTTTGAACACCATACACCGAATATTGAATAATGAATTGAACAAAGTTTGAGTAGGTAGTATTGAGTTGATCCATTTAACGGGCGACGTAGTGCACGGGATCAAATATTTTTATACATATAGACATGTTAGATCTCTGGGCAGAAGATAGGCTAATTTAAAAGGGGAGAGGACCAACACCGGGACGTGCTCAAACAGGGATTTTGAGATTTTTGTTTATATATGGTCGCCGCGGGTTTCAAAGCTATAATTATAATAATAATTGGTTTAAAATTTTTGTTATGGTAACCGTTATATTATAAAAAAAAACATATTATTCATATAGCGTTGGTATTTTTAATGGGCAACGAAGTGCACGGGATCAGCTAGTATTTATATACTATTCTAAATAATTCCTCGCCAAGTAAATACATTATTGAAACACAATAAGTTTACTTAAATTCAATATACTTAGGATTTATTCATGATATCACATCTTTATAGTGCTTAAAGATCTTATATTTTTTTACTTAGCCATTTTTACACGTAGTTTACGAAGGGTTTTTGTTTAGATACCACTAATTTTTATCAACAATGCAAATAATGATAATGTATCTATATTTTTATCCATATATTATAATATATATATTAGGTATATTGTATAAAGTACTGACAAAAATATTGTTTGTGTAAATACTGAGTAAATATTGAGTATTTACACAATAATGATCTAGGTATAAAAACGGTAATATTGTTTCTAGTACTGTAATTTTGTCATATTTTCCCTGATGACTAGATAACAAACATTAGCTGTCGGCTATCGTTATTCTGAATTTAACATAAATTTCGATTAAAAGTTCACACTTTTTCATTTATAACTTAATTTCTAAACATAAGATTTTTATGATTTTTACAAAACCACATTTTAAAGTTCTACACAATATTTCTGATGTTTTGGAGTTTACTAGGAGTTAATTATTGATACATTAGAAAATTAGTTATGTCGTATAATAAATTTACAGAATTTTACACAGTTTAAATAGGTAACTCCTGCTTCGATATAATATATACACGCACGGTCGTACAGCTATTTTTTTTTCTTTACTTAGGGCCACAACCGTGGTGCTGGATATAGGTATACTTCTGTTAACATGTCTCTTTTTTCTGCTGAAGGTTAGGTTGTAAGAATGTATACGGTTAGATTTAAGCTTTGTTAGGTAGATCAAACTAGCAAGGTTATAGAAATTAGAAAATATAGATTTTACTTTAGAAGATAAATGTGCTCATAATACAATGCCTGATTCATAAGAAATATATATATATATAATACGCCTGATGATAAAATTGAAAATGGAGGACGGAGTGGCCGAGTGGACTAGGGAGTCGGTTGCGACGCGCACCGTCGCCGGTTCGAACTTCAGCCACGGGCGGCACTTCTCTTCGGGCAGTTACGGTGTCTGGAGAGAGACGCCGCCATCCCCCACCCGAGCATGGCAGATACATATTATACGGGTGCCCACTTGAAAATTCTGCCAGACTAAAACAGAAGTGTTAAAACCTATACAGTACCTACCCTCCCCCACAGTTAAAATCCACCCAAGGGCCTAAGTTTACCTCGAGTTAATTAATGAAAAAATTGAAAATAACATTTTAATTGCATTTTTTTTTTTTTAGTTAGTAATTACCTACTGGCTACACTAATATTTTATTGGCACATCCGCAACAGCAGGAATCAAATAATATTTAAGTAATCATGCAAAACACCAATGCCTATCCAGCAGAAGATCGTCCACGTTTGCGTGAAATATTACAGCTATGGAAGTTGGAGATCTTACATGACAGATTAATTGGTAATACATTTAACTATTTAAGTCCTATTATATTATTATGATGAGGTATATACATTTGTATAATTAATTGTTTTGTGTTTAGAACAATTTATCACCATTACAGTGTTAAAACTTTTACGAAAGGATGATGTTAATGAATTGATTTCAAATAAGTTTCCTATTGGTGTAAAAGTTATGTTTACTTATAAACTTCAAGAATGGCAAAAACGTAATCCACTAACTGCTGCAGAATATAGTCGTTTGAACAAACAGTATAATGTATAAGCTAGTGTACCTATGTTTAAACAGTTCCATAATTACTAAAAAAATTCAAAAAATAAATTGACTCAAAATGTTTGTATTTAATTTGATCATGAAAAAAAATTCACTCATTGTATTTTATATTTGAAAAATTTAGTTATTGATCTTTAGTAAGATATTATTTCCATTCAAGGTTATTTCCATAAAAATGTTGTAAACACATTATTCACATGGATTATTATTATTATTATTTATTTATTTATTATGTACTGTTTTAAGTAAGGTTTATATTATGAAATGCATTATAATCAATATAATTTTTTTAAATTTGTCCAACACTTCAGTAGTCAGGTTTATACCGTGTCAAATATAAGTTTACTATTATCATTGGTCAGGGTTTTAGATTCTGAGTGGAACGATGAATGTATTGATTTTACAATGATGTGTGTTTTTTTTTATTTGTTTTGTGTCTGTCTTTACGTTTTAGGACAGTAAAAGTGCTTGGATTTTCTTCAACAGTGTCTTTTTTGATAGGAAAGTGAACCTAGTTGGTACTTTGGGGGGTCAAAAGTAAAAATGTCCCAGTAGTTTTCAAAAGTGACGTGAAAAACGAAAGAAAAATTAAGGAAAAACAGGAATTTTTACGCAAAATAAGTTTTCGCGGAGAAAATGGATTTTGGTTTTTGGTGTAACTCTAAAACAAATGAATTTTGATGAAATTTTCACTGGTTGTTTATATTTGCATTTTCTATACACGAGAAAATTTTCGAAATATTATGATTTGTTTTGAACTGTTTAGGAACATTTTCATTTTCCATTTTTTTTTAGTTTTTTTTCTAAAAATATCAATACAATTTTATTTGTTGGTTAAAAAAGCTCGAAAATTTAATAGAAGGCTCCGAGTATATTATTTCAAAGGCAGATGAAAAATAATAAAAATCCTTAGTCACAGTTTTTTTTTATAAGCATTTAAAGTTCAAAAATTGACAAAATATAGAAAATCACGAAAATTAGCAAACTATTTTGAGTTAAGAATTCGTAAAAAATTTTTCTTTTTAAAATGTAAAACAAGATTCCTTATAAGATTATCTACTTTTATCAACAAAAAAAAATGTCTATAAGAAAGTCAAATTAAATTTTTATGAGCGTCTGAAATTCAAATTTTTACAACATTGGATATTCACTCGATTTCTCGTGTAGAGATTTCCTTATTTTGTTGTAATTCAAAAACGAATAACTATTAACTGTAGATACATGAAAATTTAAATGAATATTTATATTAGCATTTCCTATACACCATACAATTTTGAAAATATTTTGACTCTTTTTGAGCTGTTTACGGACATTTTCGATTTTCAATTTTTTTAGTTTTTTTTTCTATAAATATCAATTAAGTTTTATCTGTAAGGCCAAAAAGTGTAAAAATTTAATACAAGACTCTTGATATATTGTTACAACATGAGCTGAAAAATATTAAAAATACACAGGCACAATTTTTTTATAAGCATTTAATGATCGAATTTTGACAACATTTATCAAATTTAAAATTCAATAATTATTTTGTAGTTAAAAATGTATAAAATGTTCAACTTTTATATCTAAGGATTGGTAATTTAAAACAAGATTTCAAATAAGTAGTTAATTCTGTTATCAAAATATCTAAAAAATACATAAGGACAGTTTATTTTTATAGTCATTTTAAGTTCAAATTTGGACGAAATTACATAATACAAAAACCTAGAATAATTATTTTAGTTATTTTGTTTTGATTGTATAATATTAATCGTGGGTACTTGGGTTTGTTGTTGATGTATAACGCTTTATAAGTACCTACCTAATAGATATTGTGATATGATTAATTTGGAATTTATTATAGGTACCTATTTTAGGTAAATTTTTTTTAATACGATAGATAAGTATATAATATGTCTTATACCTAGACTGACTTACCGTCTCCGCTCAGAATCGTTTTTCTTATACAATTTTATTATATCGTTGAATTCAAATTTAATACTATCCATTATACAGTGACCCACTTGTAACCAACTGTACGTAGCAGAGCACTTTTTTTTAATCCTGTCTATCCTGTCTATCTTTTGTTTAATTTGTCCTATATCCTATCTATATGGCCGATGTGCCGTAACTATAGTAGACTACTTGAGGCCATGGGTGCCCATCAATCACCTATTGGGGTGACAATATACCTATCATAAAATAAAACTAAAAACCAACAAAATGTCTTTTATTAAATAACAGAAAAAAATAGGTATACAACAAAGATAAATGATGTACCTATATATGCACGATGTAGTCTGTAGAGACGATATAAGTATAAGATATTATATAGGATATAACTATATCTTCTCTACATCGTGTAAATATGTATCTATGGACCTATTGTTTTATGGTAGACGGTAGTACTAGTTATTTTAGTTATACAATATCATAAGTATAAAATAAAATAAAATAGTTCACGCCGCCACTGAGTATTATGAGTTATGAACAAAAATAAAAAATATAATCAATGGTAATTAGTACATTTTTCTTTATTAATATAAAACAATGAAATTCTTTTTTATTTTTAATGCTTTTCGACCGGACGTTCGAACAAACCGTTGAGGAGAAACGCTGGTGTGAAATGTCCATTGCCGCGGATTTTACTGACATACTGCACGTCTGCACACCAAAGACGACGAGAGGATCTTTTGAGGTGACGGGTTGTCGGACCAGGACGGCGCAGTGCACTACAACTATATACATTCGGCCGACTGCGGTTCAGTGCTCTGGACGGAGCAAGCGAGGATGTGCGGGAGCTCGACGGCGAAGAATACGGCATGCAGCGGCGGTGGCAGCAACCGAAAGGATCAGGGAGCAGCAGGTGGACGAGTTTGGAAATCAGCCTTTGCCTGCAAAGGACCACGATCACGGAAACGCTGCCCGCGTCCGTGCAACCGGCTCGTGTTCGTTCTGCAGCGGCGAGGCGTTCGGCCGGGCGGTTCGGACTGTAGACAGCTATTGCAGGCTGCTGATCGAGGTGCTCGTCGGACCCGGAGATGGCGACAGGAGGAATTTTCTAAGTGACGGTGAAACTGCAGATCGGGTGTAAGGAGAGTGACGGTGTTGGCAGTCCAGAGAAGCGCGACATAAGGCTTCAAGAGTTCCGGCGAGCATATAGTTATAGTGGAAACTCGCCGGTTAATCAATCGTATATGCTGAAATATTATAATTTTACTGAAAATTAACAAATTTGTCTATAATAAGTTGAAACGCTATAGTTTACTTATAACTTACGTATGTTATGTGTTGTGATTTTGTTTGGTACTGTTTAATTCGGGGTTACTGCGGTGAGGCTGATTTGTCGTGGCCGGCTTTTGGCCGGCCTGGTTCCGGCGAGCATATTAATTAGTGGAAACTCGCCGGTCAACCCGTATATTATGCTGAAATTATAATTTTACACAAATTTAAACAAATTTTTCACGATTTTTCGACATTATCATAATATTATGGTCTATAATAAGTTGTAACACTATATTAGTTCAAAAATACTGTATACTTATATAACTTACGTATGTTATGTGGTCGTTATATTTGGTAATGTTTAAGGTAAAGGTTCATCTGTCACGGCCGGCTTTTGGCCGGCCTGGTTGTAATGTAAGTAATTTGTCATGCAGTCGAATCGTTTTAATATTTCTTAAAAATATTTCTTGTCGCGCTTCTCGTGGAACTGCCACGTCGCTCCTTACCCCCTCAGTTTCACCGTCACTTCTCGTCAGTTCCTCCTTCGACCATCTCCGGGTCCGACACCAACTCTGGTATATATATGCACCTCGATCTCCGCAGCCTGCCTTTCTCGTCCGGTTCGCCCTGCCCATTTCCCATAACGCCACTGCAGAACGAATCCCGTCGCCGGGCGGGCCGGTTTCCCGGACGCGGGCAGCATTTCCGTTACATATGCTTTCGGTGGTCCTTCAGCGGCGGCTAATTTCCAAACTTGTCCTGCTCCTCCCTATCCTTTTTCCGCGTTTGCGGCTGCTGCGTGTGTCGCCGCTGCATGCCATATCTTATATTTTTCTCCGCCATCGAGCCATCCTCTTGCTCCGCCGTCTGATTCGCTTTCGGCCGCATATGTTGTAGTGCACCACCCCAAGCCGTCGTCCAGACCCAACGAGAACGTGACCGGGTCACCGCAAAGGCCGACCACGTCCTCCGGCATTCCGGTCCGACAGCTCGCCGATGGTCCTCTCGTCGTCCTCAGTTCTGCAGTATGTCTCGTTATAGGCGCCACTTCAGTTGGGCGCCTCTCCATAGTTCCGCGGAATGGACATTATAACCAGCGTTTCTCCTTAAGTTTGTCCGGTCTTCCTTTGGTCGTGTAAATAAGTGATTTTAAAAACTATTGTTTAAATAAATAAATCTCGTTACTACGGTCCAAGATAATATTATTTATAATACTATGCCATTGTTTAATATAATATTATTTCGTATTTAGTAGTTATTAATTCAGTTATAGCCAGATGCATATTATATTAGCTGTGTATTTATACGATATTAAGAGGACGCCACACCCGCATGTGTTGTCTCCGTCTTACAATTGTACAACATAGCAAAAACTCTTTTGCGAGGGACAACTTTTCTCGCACCATATTTGTTGTAGAACTACCAAATTTTCACAGCACTTAAAGAAGAACTTTATCTGTGCAACAGCGTGCTCTTTTTTTCAATAACATATATACAATACAAGTTATTTGCTTCTAAACATTTGGTTTTTTAATTTGCTTATAAAAAAATGATTGGATGGTGCTATTGAAAAAAAGAGCACGCTGTTGCACAGATAAAGTTCTTCTTTAAGTGCTGTGAAAATTTGGTAGTTCTACAACAAATATGGTGCGAGAAAAGTTGTCCCTCGCAAAAGAGTTTTTGCTATGTTGTACATTTGTAAGACGGAGACAACACATGCGGGTGTGGCGTCCTCTTAATGTTATACCTACCTTATAAGTTATAATTAACAATGGATATATAACGAACAATGGATATATATTTTATGGACATAAGCTCAACTAAGAAGGCTGGAGTAGTGAAGTGGCTATGCCCCCCTCCCCGAAAATTACACAAAGCCTCCCTCCAAAATAAAGGAGACTACAAAACTATTTCAATTTCCAAGTTGACCTGCAGGCGTTTGAGTAACGAAGCGTTCCCGGAAATTACCGGCATTTGCAGTTTTCTGCCATTTGCAGAATATTTGAAACTACTAATAATACCTACCTATAATATTCTCCAAACATAAAGTTGTGGCGAACGTTTGTTCGAATTGCATTTTTACGGTGACCCGTTGCAATGGAAGACCATTTAGTTTAGGATTAGGACTGCCGAACGAATATAGTCCACACCCGAAGTCGCTTTAAATAATAATATGTTCCTGTATATTGCTGTATTAACATATTATTATTTAATTATATGAAAAATATAGTGAAAAAAAATGCAAAAAAGTCGGGTTCCGGGCGGCCGTGTAAACCATATGGCAATGACGGCAACAACGCGTCGTACGACGGATTCGAACCCGCGACCTATGTGTTTCCTACCTACCTAGCAGTGCTAGCAGCAGCTATCTATGGTGATTATGCCGCCCTTGATTATGCCGGAGAATGGAGTGATAAGTACTCGTCCGAAAAATGATAACAGTCAAATATTGAAAAATGAAAATCAGTGATAACTGATAAGACGTGTAATGTGTAAAGAAAAATTGATTATAATTTTAGGAGAGCTGTCTAGGGTGGCGTAGTCGCGTAGTGCTGGTACTTACTACTGTTATTTATTACTATAAAGCAAGTAGTGACTAAGCATATTTTTAAAATTTTCAGTAAATCTGTGCTACTAGAAATTGGAATCAATCCCGTTTTATATTTCTTTTTAAAAGTTTATTCCGTCTATATTCTATTGATAATGTCGAAAGTGTCTTTTTCGACGTTGGCGTATTGTAAAATGGTCGCCCATGCTGCCAAATATCCTCACTGTGAAGTAAACGGATTACTGGTCGCCGAGAACTCTACTAAGGGCGATAAGTTGGTTATAGTGGACACTGTTCCATTGTTCCATCAGTGTCTCCATGTATCACCGATGTCAGAGATCGCCTTGATGCAAATCGATCAATCTGCCAGTACATGTGATATGTACATTGCTGGCTATTATCTAGCCAATGAAACGTTGGATGACTTAAGGTACCTAGATGTCTAACTTTTAAATATTTTTATTGTACATTTATTATGTAATGAATTGTGTATAAACGTATAGTGTGTCAAAGTTCTTCGTCTATATACATTATACCTACCATGTTAATCTTAATGCATTTTATGAAATATATATTATTATCAGTTGGGAGATCAATAGTTTCTTCAACTTTTGGGGACAAGAATAAAATTGAATGTATCTTAATTGCATTTCAAACCTAAAATTTGGGAGGTGCCTATACAATATTTTTGGGTCCTCTATTAACAGTATATTATGTACATTTAATAAATTATAATATACGAATAAACATATTACCTACTAGTAACGCTGAAGCTGTACTACAATGCTTAACATCTGTAGTATTTAAAAATATTATATCTACTGGAACCTTTTAACCAATCGACCCACAAAAACAGATTCATTAGTAGGTAGGTAGCTCCTTTAGGAATATTTTTGTCATTATGTTCATGTTTTTTTTTTTTTTTTTTTTAATTATATTTTGTTCATTATTCAAATTATTTAGATTGTCCATTCACCTATTTTTATTAAGTAGGTAACTCACTTTTCAATTCAATACCTAATACATAATGTATAATGGTTGAGAGAAATAACAATAGTCAATAGACATGGGCAATATTATATTATTTTTTTTTATTTACAGTTAGTTTTGATTGTACTTTGGTAGTCAATAATGTTTAGCTGTTAAAACCATAAATGTTTTTCCACACAAATTAAAAATATTTTAAACATTTTACTCTAGTAACATCAGCTAAAATACTTGCCCTATGCTCTAGGATTTAAATTGTAGACCGTTAGGGCCCCAATTACTAAATGTCTGGGGTGCCTGTCATGCCTATGGGTAGTAGCTTGGGTAATAAAGTAATACAAGTACCTACTAATTATCAACTATTTTTTCCTACGTGGTTATGGAAAGACTACTTATCTAAATTAAAAAAAAATATTTCTTAAATTATCAGAAAATATCTGCAAATAAAAGTAATCTATTAGACAAATTATTTTTAAACTAATTAACTTATTATGTTAAATGAAGCATTATGATAGCTAATTAAATTTAGGTAGGTTCCTACTATAGATCAGATTAATCAATATAAATTACTATACAAATCTGATAAAAATTGACTAATTTAATTGAATTTTTAAATACCTACTTATATTATGATAATTTATATGTTTGTAGTTATGATAAACCAGCCCATAAGATTATGGATAAAATTGTTGAACATGAGACTGATGTCTGTATGGTTGTGGTTAGTAAAGTTTTTACCGTTTTCAAGCTAATATTTTAGATTTTAATAATTAATAATTCTAAATTATATTTTTTAGATCAATAATCGATTAATGGAATTAAATCAAAAAGAAAGTGCATTATTAGTGCACACCCAAGATGATGGAAAATGGAAACGCCTGAATAACTCTAAGTACCTATGAATAGTAAAATAATATAAAATATATAATAATTAATTTAATTATTTTCAATTTAGCGTACAAATAGAAAATGTAACATTGGCAGCTGCATCAGCTGTATTACAACAACAGTTGTATAATAATTTGGTGGATTTTGACAATCATTTGGATAATTTGTCTTTAGACTGGCTCAATACAGAATTTTCCAACTGTGTAGAAAGAACATCTGGACATGACATGGGAAGAAGGCTGATGATTAATAAATCAGTTTCTTGACAATTGGAATGGGATGAGGGAATGAAACAAATTAAATTTTGATACATTAATTTTAGATGAGTATTAAGAATTGTTTTTTTAGTTAAATTATCAAGTATCAATGATTATCTTGTTTTCATATTATTATTTATTATTTCAAATGGAAATGATGTAAGCCAAACTGTTTTAAATCTATCTAGTTCATAGTTATAGAAAAACATTACATTAATAGTTTAATTATTACTAAAAATAAATTATTCCACAACATCTTTGGAATTTTCCACTTTATCTTTATAAATACTATTTTATTATGATTATGCTACTTTTAGTATTTTTGTGTTACTCATTGGGATTATAATTTATAATATAACATTTTTTAATGCAATTTTATCTATAAGTCTATAATTATATATTATGTATTCACCATTTATATAGCATATATAAAAATAATGGCATATACAATAAATTGTGTATTGTATAGTCAGCATTTTTATATCAAAAACGATTTACATAAGTAACACCATTGATTGTGAATACTAGTATTTATAATCAATGGTAACATCTTTAAAATTGTTAATGGTTTATGTACAGAATTTAAAGGCATACATTTATGTATGTTAAGTAACTTACAGTGACATATTTTGTTATTTTTAAGTATAAGTATGTATTTATAAACCATAAAATCTAAAATGATTTTAAATTGTAGGTATATCAAATTCTAAGTTTTTAATATAATAATTATAAGTAATAAATATTATTTTTATTTTTTAATAGCTTGTATTTAAAAATAACTATGTGAAAACTCAAATTTTAATTAAAGACTTGTTTAGCCTTATTGAGTTGGACTGTGAATGAACTATTTAGCTAGTTGTTAAGTAAGTATTAGAGTGGTTCTTATTTTAGGGTTTTTTTAAATCAAGTCTTAAGTCGTCATAATAAATAGTTGTCTAAGTGTGTTACATCTATACATTTTGGTGGGTTCATTTTAAATGCATTATTAAGAAATCAGTTTTAACTGTTGATTTCACACTGCGTTTTGGAACCTCCTGTCGATTCTATGTTCCGTTAAACCATAACATGAGGCTGTCGGGATGAACACAGGACCCTTCTAAGAGCAGTGTTATGTCTCTAAGATAAAAAAAAAGTTTTTTTGAATAATATATGCATATATTGGGCTCATGGGGTTATGCTAGACTGTTGACATTATTTGTATACTCATAGAGCTATATTAATTGTAAATATTGGTGTTACTGTATTGGTAAGAAAAAAGTAGTACCTATATAACTTAAGCAAGTAATTATTCTTATATTGTAAAACATTTTTTTTTTTTTTAAATATTGCTATTGTAGTAATTACTATTTGGCATTTGCATTCATAATGTATACCCCTATACCTATTAAGGGGATTGGAAGCAGTGTATTTATTTCACATTTTAGACCTAAAAGCCTGACAAGATTACGCATACTTAAAATAATCAGATTTCAATTCTGAAAAAAGATTTGAGTTTATCCACCTTTTTTCTAGGTTATTGTGGAAATCGATTTTTGATATTTCTTTAAAAATTGTTCTTAAATAATAAATCTTAGTTTGGTTTTTGAATTTTTTTTAAAATTTTTAGATTTACTTTAGTGTTTCTTAAAAAAAGTTTATTCTAAAATCGACTTCCACAATAACCTAGAAAAATGGTCGATCGCCTCAAATGTTTTTACAGAATTGAAATCCGATAATTTTGAGTTGACGTATTTTTGTCAGGCTTTTAGGTCTACATTGATTAAAATTAGTTTCTCGTTGGAACAAAATATTTTATTTCATCAAATGCAATGACTGTGCATGCGCGTGCAAACCACTAGTGGTTTCCCGGAAATTGTAATGAACATTCCATCGTTGATGAATGAGCGGCTAGTAGTGGTGGCGCGCTGGACACACACAAATGTTTGTTTACTACTGACACAACAGCACTACTCAGTACTCGACTTCAACTGATAAACTAATTGCCTATCGTTTGCTCCTTAGAAACAGACCGCTTTCAGGACCGTGATACCCGCAGTTATCTCCGAATTCGTGGGCACATTTTACGTTCGGCAGGACACGTGTAGCTCCGTTAATTTAAAAAGTGAATTGACCTCTTATAAAATCTAATGGTAAAATCTAGGCAACCTCATGGACTTTTTACTATATTTTAATTTTAAAGTTATGAGTTATGAGTATTTTAAGATGTACAAACAATTTACAATTTTAAAATGCTCATAACTCGATTTAAAATTAAAGTATATTAAAAATCTCATGAGATTGCCTAGGTAATAACTAGTAATCTTACATTTAGATTTTATTAGAGGTAAATTCCCTCTAATTTTTAAACTATAACCACAGATTAAATGAAAATGTTCATTTAATTGGTTCTATAACAGAGCTATACACGTGTTCTGCTGAGCGTAAAATTTAAGTATGTTACGCACTTACTGCAAGACGGAGACAACACTTGAGGGTATCACGTCCTCCTATAACTATCGATATGATGATTGACGATATCATTATTTATTGTTATTATACGAGTATCGTTGCATACATAGACTTATAATAAGTCTATGGTTGCATAAAAAATAAAAATATAGAAATAAGGCTTTCCCAAACTCCGGTATTTTCGACGTAGGATTTAAACGATCATTTTTGACCGCCTCGACAAGAAAACGGTTCGCTATAATATAAAACGGTAATAGAAAATATAAATGTAGAACCTAACTTTTGTTCATGATAGTCTTGGCCACTCTTGGCGATAAACGTTTAGCCGTTTAGGTATCGACGTATCGTAGGAAATACTATTATTAATGTAGGGCAGTGGCGTAGCCAGGAATTTTTTATGGGGGGGGGGGCTAAGTATACAAATACAATGTGTTTTTTATTTACGCTTTTAATTTTTTTATTAATCTTGATAAAATTCTAAGGTCAACATCGGTCAATGGGGGGGGGGGCTATAGCCCCCTTAGCCACCCCCCTGGCTACGCCACTGATGTAGGGTCACAGATTAGGTATATGCAAATTGCAAATATATCTTTTCGTATAATTTGAGGTAGGATGAACCATACTTATAAATTATAATATGTAGGGCATATTAAAGGTAAGATTATTATCTAGACAACGACATAGGCTTTTTATTATATTTTAATTTTAAAGCGAGTTATGAGTATTTAAGATGTACAAACAGTTTACAATTTTAAAACACTTATAACTCGCTTTAAAATTAAAATATAATAAAAAGCCTGCCATTGTCTAGATAATAGTCTTACCTTTAAAATTTATTAGAGCTCAATTCGCTCTAATTTTTAAACTAACGGAGATAAATGTGTACAAATATCACTGTAACGTCCCCTTAATAAATAATTTAATAACTTGTATTAATATTACCTACTGAATACTGGTATAGAATTAATATATTTTTTTTAAATGTTTCTATTTATAACTTCCTGTTTAAATTACTCTTAGCGAGTTACACCAGCCTCCGAGTTTCACCTACAGCCAGTGGCGCCGAACTCAGAATTTTTTTGTGAAGCGAAATCTAGAATTTTTTATTCACCCACCCACCCACCCACCCCCTTAAACTTAAAACTTCTGAACACAGGACACCTTATGTAACTTTGTTTACCCATTAACCACTACTCCCTAGAACTTACCTATACCCACCTACCCACCTACCCACCCATAAGAAGTGAAGCGATCGCTTCACATGATATATGAGTTCGGCGCCACTGCCTACAGTTAATACTTAATAGTATTTACTAATAGTCTATATACCATGACTTTATTTAGTCATACTATAGTCTATAGATTACAATCATCTCAATAGGTAATAATAATTATTATTTATCCATCTTGAATCATATTTGAAAAATAAATGTTTTTATTAAAACCCCTTTTAAGATATGCATAGGCAATAGAGTGTTGTCATCAGAATTGTCCGAGACTAATATAATATATATATAGATTATAATTATATAATATGTTATGGTTGCCGAATTGCCGGCTTATCAGAAGTGATAAGTGAAAAATGTACCGACATTTGAAGTTTGAATATTATACATTTACGGCCGTACGGGACTTCGGAGCTATCTCAGTATCTCCATTCCAGTGTTGCCGATAGTACGGTATTTGTCGGGGGATTACGGTAATTTCATACTCCGTACGGTCGGAGTACGGTCAACCAAAAATGGGTCAAATAGTACGGTAAATTCAAAAAAAAAAAATTAGCTTTTCATCATATTTGTTATAAATATTTTGTATTTGATTTTATTTTTGTATCAATTCTATATATTATATAATATTGAACTTCGAACCTGACCCAGACTTTTGATCGTGATATTATGTGAGCTGGACTAAGATGGTGCTCAGTTTCTCCCTAGTTAGAATTCCCATAGAATTCCATAGAATTCCCCATAAAAGAAAACAGAGTTTATCTAATAACCCCAAACCTTGGGTGAAACTATCATAATAATTAACTATAATTTTTGATTTTAAATATCATGTAATTTTTGTTTTTGAATTTTTTATCATGTTGTCTGTAATTCATAAGGGCTGGTTATTTTATTAATTTACATTTATTTTAACAACTACATAAAATCATCAATTAAAAATAAATTAATTCATCAAAATGTTTGAATAAAATAATAAATTGTTTAATATCTAAGTACGCGACCGCTGCAGGCAGAATAATGCAATATCCGACGGTAAACCACGGTATTCGTATTAAGATGATAATTAAAAATCACGGGGCCCTTTAACAAGCGCGGGGCCCTGGACAAATGTCCCATTTGTCCTCTCCTAGCGCCGGCACTGTCCATAACCCTGAACCCATTATAAGTTTTTACCTGAAGATTGTTAATTGTTATTTGTTATTAATTTTTAATAGGTTTTAATGGTTTTATAAATATTTGATAAGAATTTGATAAGAATTTGATAAGAATTCGGATAAGAAATTATAACTGATAACCATGCTGATAACCTAAAAAATCAATAAGTACGGTAATATT